GTGTACAGAGGCCAAATGCCAAAACAGTTATCCTTGTTCCAATATTTCTGGTCCTGACTGTCTTTTGAGGGTTGGGTTTTTTTCATGCTCTCCTTTTTCTCAGGACTGATTAATCTTTTCTGAAAGTCCTCCCTTAATGGTTTAGTCATTCTTTCTCCACTCCCAAGGCCAGGTCTACATTCCTTCACAGAAACTCAGTATTATGAGTTTTCCGAACAGGTATCCTTTTAAGAAACTTCCCAGATTGAGGATATGTCCAGAAATTAGCTCCCAACTAGGATCACACTGGAGTAAGTAACCCAAACTCACAATTCTCCTTCCATCTTGAGGCAATGCTTTGTATGCTTTATTCCTGCAAATAAAGAGCCCAGGTATGCATATTTGTAAAGTTCAATACTAACATCCTGGTGGCGTAAATGAATATAGCTCTATCACTTATTGCAGTAAAGTAATTAATACATGAACTTCTCCAGGGAACAGGAGAGGATAGAGTAGTGTTCCAACAGCATCCTAGCTACCCCATCAATTAAGCTAGTAATCTTGTAAGCATATTTCCATAGTGCAGAATGGAACAGGATTCTTGAGAAAAATTGTTTGGAGGCTCACCGAATTCAATTTAGATGAGTGGATGGGAGGATATAAATCTCATCTTCACCTACATTGGCTTGATAATTTTCCCGGCAAGGGATGTGTGCACTCTTGAATTTCACACTTTATGGAGGTATGGGTTATGAGTAGGGCAATAAGGGTGGTTAGCAGCACCTGGAAAGGTCCAGTCCATCGTGGCACTGGCCAGTTATTTTCTCTGAAACCCATGGATGGAAGACATAATCTCCAGGTTTCAGGGAATGGGCAGGTGACTGGGATGTTGTCTTAGACTGATAAAAATGGGCTAACATTGTTTGATTAAAGATAATGTTGGCCAATATTCCAGGTAGACCTTGGGGGCATTCCATACCAGAGAGGCAATCCTCTCCTGGAATATAAGAGGCTGGGGGTCATGGAAAATAATCAGGGTGGTGTCAAAGCCCAGAAGTGTCTAAAAATAATAAAACAATATGGTAAGCTTTAACTGTAAATTAAACATTGTTAAAAATAAGGAAAGAATATGTAAAGTCTTCTCTCCCCTTTGAACAGTTCTTAAAAGGACATTGTAGGAGAAACTGGTCCTATAGCTTCATTAAAATCACAAGCAGCATATTAAAAGAATCTATAGGGAGTAAGACTGGGGAAAAGACCATGTTATGGTGTTCTGGCTTGCTCTTGTTGGAAACATCTGGCTGGAGTGGCAGTCTGAGATGCATAAAAAGGCCAGAACTGTACACATCTCTGTACGTGAGATCATAAAAACAGACAATGAGCACCCACTAAATTCTAAAACTCTCAAAGACATGTCAGTGCTTAACTAACAACACTTTGAAATGAATCATGTATTCAAGAAACATTTCCTTGAATCAGAAGTCCTTTCCAGACTTAATATTATTTTTTCTTGCTTTTAGCTTCTCTGGAATATTCAGACTTATTTTCTTGAAGTTTCATGGAGATGGTACTCCTCTTCTTTCAGCCTCCTTCTTAGTTTTCTAGCCAGGAATCTGATCAGCAGAGAAAAGTCTTTGTGTGCAGAAAAAGAGGATAAATGAACCACCAATCTATAACCATCCCCCCTCCCCCTCCCCCAATTAATTCTATTAAACACAGTTAAAATTTACAAGACTCTTATCCATTATATATTGGCTGCACTTAAAAATTCCCACAAGCACGAAAGGGAGAGGTTGCCACAAGGAGGGCATCACACTAGAGTAGCACCATCAGGAAAAACTCAGCCAGCAAGGTTTGTCACAGCACCAATCCCAAAGAGAGGGAGAGTCAAGAAACCTTGGAGCCTGTAGATGCCGCCCCCCTCATCAAATCCATGCATTTAGGCTTAGGGGCAGGTGGGTGTATTGATAGGGGGAGCAGTAAGTCCCAGGATCCCCTTGAAAAGAGGAGGGACAAGAAGGTCACCACCCTCCTTTGGTAGCTTGAGACCAAGCATTGAGGAACAGACGTTTCCTGAGGGAGACTTTTTTCCCTTCACTGGCTTGGCATCTTGTGAGAGACCCACATCAGAAAGGAGCGAACGAAAGAAAGAGAAGGAACTCAGAAAGAATCCTCCAGTAGCTACCAAGACCATTTTGCTCATTTTCTCCCCCATAGCAAGAGCATAAGAAACAAGCCAGGCACAGAAAGCCAAGGAGATTGAAATAAACTCACACGAGTACAAATTATATGTTTGATAACTTAATGTTATAAATAAATTATAACATTAAATGTGTACAATAAATCCCTTCCCAGGAGGATTCAGAGGGATTCAGCCACAGAGAGGGAAATCACAATCAGCAGAATAAGGACTTAGTTGCAGCTGCACAGGTCCAGAAAAAGAGTAGCATGCAGAAATCTCTACTCTCTGAGCATGTGCAAAAAATCTTGAAAAATATTTCGTTTTCATGAGTTCCTAGTTTCCCAAAATAAAATTCATCTCTCACTATTTTACAAAGGATGTAGAATCTGTGAGCAAGGAAAATGCAACAAGATGAAACAACAATGGGCACACCAGACTTTCTTTCTCTTGATATATATAACACCACAGTGGCATAAGAAAGATCCATGCATTTGTCAGGGTTTTCTTTCTCATGGGAAAGGAT